TTTGGAACCACCTCTCTAGCAGGCACTGGAAATGGGGGTAAAAGTTCACGGCACTAAGTACTCTTTTTGGTGTGAACGCGACATAAGGGGTACTAACGAAAATAAACGGGAAAAGTACAGGGAAAAGTACTCCGGTGTGAACGCGCCGATAGTCAATTTTCCATGCATAGAGAGGCGAAGTCCCTCCCTTTCCGGGGGACATCCATGGGACCTTATTTCGGAAAATGGCCTACCAAAATGTAAATTCACTATTAATCTGGTCAAAACAAAAATACTTACAAAGTAAAACAAATGTCCATTGATCATGATATAAAAATCCAAGTCTTCCAAGTGGAATTGATTTTGAAATACATGAGAATTAGACTGTTATACATAGTTTCTCAAACAAATTCAACCACAAATTGATAGCTATGGAATAGGTGTTATATAACTGATGAAACTGTTGAAGAGGGAGCATGGACTCACTAGTCTGGCAGTGGACTCCGTCAAAGCCCGGCGGGCACTGGCAGACGTACTCGCTGAAGACGTCCCCGCGGCGGGTTTGGCCCGTCAACTCGCAGGTGCCATCATTCTTGCACGGGTTGGGGTGGCAGGGCCCTATTGGACGAAATAAAGTCACATTAGAGGAAGGAGAGGAGAAACATTTAACCGAGGTTGTACGTAGCGTTGATGTACATCTTAGAAAATTCTACTTATCTTTTAGGTCAGCATTTGGTTACATTTGGAGATTTTGAAATGACTGAGTAGTTATCTTAACACTAGAACCGCCGACGGGTCAATTTTACCCGCAGCTGTGTTTTGATTGTATGTAACTTTGTAAGTCTCCCAGTCTGTGACTTTTCATGAAAGTGTGTTATGTAGCACCCTCTGTTGTTAAAAATGGTCAATATGAAGTCAGATTGGAAAAATCGGCAAAAAATGTTATACCTATATCAGCCAGCGAACAATATTTACCTCATAGACAATGCAGTGTAAACATGACGTGTTGCTATAGCAAAGCCTTTTGTCTACTGCGGTTCCTTATAGATAGAGAGTTAGATTGAGAGAGAAAAAGATAGACCGATAGATAGTTATAGAGAGATAGATAGATAGATAGTTATAGATAGATAGATAGAGAGGTAAAGAGATAGATCGATAGATAGATAGATAGATAGAGAGATAGAGAGATAGATCGATAGATAGTTATAGATAGATAGAGAGAGAGATAGATTTGTACTAAACAAAACACAAGTCTAACACCAAGCCTTTAAATCAGCACTGGTAGCGATATGTTATACTTCATGCTATCTGCACAAACTATGTCATATGAAAAGCTGAGAGTCCACAGATTCTATTGGTATAAGTTTCATCACTGTGCGATCAAAACTCACTGTTCTGTATGATAAATAAAAGAACATTGTACCTTGAAAATCAATAGCGGGTACATTTGACCCATTAGTGGTTTTACACTTTATCAGAGAATTGGCTTACCAGTCTCAGTCTCATTGCAGGTGTCTCCAGAGAAGCCATCATGGCAGATGCAGATGAACGGAACTCCTGCCCCGATCACACAGGTTCCACCATTACTGCACACGTTTATTTTACAGTAATCACCTAGACAGGGAGAGAGAAGGAGAGGGATTGTTTTAAGTTCAAAGAAATGTATTCAGTCAAAAAGATTGTTTGTACCGGTAATTCACAGAACCTCCCAAACACAGACGGCATCATTTTTGTGTCCCCACCCATTATAATATTGTCCCTAGTGCAATCAGAGACAGATGTTGGGAGTTTGACTTGGCTTAAAGACTCATGACTGATAAGATGTGCGTTTGTTATAATGAGTGAGTAATGTTTATGGCTCGCAAAACAAAACTGTACAAAGTGAAGTAAACCAAGGCCCATATTTCAGAACAGGAAAAGGGGGGAAAAGGGGGCAAAATGCAAGTTGGTTTTTGGCCTTAGGAAGAGGTATTCTGCATGTTTTGTTCCTTTTGTATTTTATAGCATCAAAACTAAAATGTTTAAATCAGTTTAAGAGTTAAACATGTTCTGAGTATCAGATCAAATCATTATTAAAACCTTTCATTCTCTTGCTGTGCTGCTGAATAAAGAGTAAACAGCCTGCTGGACATTGGATGTGTTGGTCTAAACAGCTGAGTAAGCCATTACTAAGACACAACAACACACTGGATGCTTCCACCAGCATCACTGATGCCTGAACCTGACAATCTGGCATCTCTCTGGGCATGAGGGAATTTGTGTCAGCTCGCAGTGGGTCGGGAAAAAAGGAATCAAGAGGCGTCTAGTGGTTTTGAAAAGTATCTAACCTTTGGAAACTATGAGCACACTGTTTACAAAATAATGATTGGCAAAAAATGTATGATACACGAGTAAGGAGGACCAGTTCCTGACAAAATGCTGTTGAAATGAAATGATAGCACCTAGGATAAAAACAACATATTGAACAATGAACCAGTAATTACATTTTTCCCCAATATAGATGCTGCACATAGCATTTTGGAAGTCAAGGTTTCAATTACCCTGTGTTTTGACACTTAGAATATGAAGGAAGTGAATAATTGGGAGGCTTTTGACACCCTTGAAGACAGGGAAGTCTTTTCCAAGTTAACACTCATTTAGATAATTGTTGAGGAAATTGAGGTCGGACCCCAAGTTTGAAAGTGGCGGTTGAAGAACCACAGTGTCTGCAATGGAGGCTAAAATAAGCTCTTACCCCATTTCTTTGAGTGTGTTAGCACGATACCTCTTTTAGTCCCAAAAAAGAAGACTTGTGGGAGAAGATAAATATTTGTATAGACTTCTACAGGAAAGAAAATTGTCATTTTAGTCTGAGGGTATAATTCTGATGCCACAAGGCCATGGCTGCAAACGACATTTTGAAGAGACTTCTAACTTCCTGTGCATTAATTCCTCTATATCTTTCAAAACCCAAACTACATACATCTCTCAAGGCTCAGAAGTATATTCAGCACAAACTATGCTCAACAAAGTAACACTGTTAAAACCAACGCTCCTGCTACCATAGACGAATAATGAAAACATTGTTTGTGGATTGCATTGGACAGCAGTTCTATTTTAATCTGGAGTCTCTGGATGTATTATCTATGAAACATTGAGAGTAGATCAGGTCAGGTCAGAAGGGACGATACAAAATGAGATACACAACATCCTGTTTGTCTGTTTATCGACTGGACTGCACTTCCCATTCATGTTTGGTGTTATCATCAGTAAGGTATCCAGTTGCATGGCCTTCACAGGACTAGGCAACAGGCTTCGTGGCCCTGCCTACGTATTCCTTATCCAAAAGTTCCTGCCTGTTTATCTTTGGGAAATTACACAGCCGCCCTTCCTACACAGGCAGACAGCTCCCTGCAGGATACCCTTTAAGCACCGAGGAAAAACAAGGTTGGATAAATGACGCGCTTCCAAGAATATTTTAATGGAACAATCGGACTAATGTACTTCTTAATAATGTCAAGAAATTGGAAATAAAAGAGACATCTCACTCAATCTATCTCTGCTATCGTTTCTTTTGGTCTGAAGGGTAACTTAGCCAGGAGTTTTATTGAGGAAATGAAATTAGTGACGTATTAGTCAAGGTTGTCTGCCAAGAGACAGTGGTCAAACCACCAGAGCCCCCTTGAAAATCCCCAGTAATGCGACTGTCTGTAAAAAACACATGGGAATGAAGAAAGGGTTTGTCTATTCTTCCAATTTTTATTGTGAAATATGAGGTATTTTGACAGGTTTTGCTTCCCGGACGGGTAAAAAGAGACACTCAAAACGTAACATTCGAACAATAAAAGAAAAATGTGCAGTTATTATGTGTTATGTGGTTTCCGCACGACATCAACCAGTAACGTCTCTGCTGTTTCAGAGGAAACCAGAGACTTGTTTTTTCCCGTTATCTTGAGCTGACAGAGGAATACAGTTTCAGATAAGTAGGAGTTTATATTTCAAGATAAATCAGTGGGTGTAGTTTCAGTTTCGTTTATTGAGAAATCGCTGCAGAAAATAGGATTTCAAATTCACAAAAGCTACTATTTCCTCAAACCTCACTAATGTCCAGCTTTACAGATCATTTTTGGTTTTATGAGCTCAGGTTATGAGACATTCCATTTCAGCTTCCATCCCAAAAACAGTGAAGATGAAAAAATCTCCTGTCGAGCTCCTGCTTGGGAAATCACCTCTTCAAAATTCAACAGGGATATCTTTCTCCAGAATCGGTGTCTCCGTGTCTGTCAACAGTTGGAACCACTTTCTAGTAACACAAACCGTCTGCATGGTTAGTTACCAAGAAATATAAGTGAGAAATGCTTTTGTGTTATTTGCCCTTTGAGCTGCTTCAGCTATATAAGGACAATACCGAAAAATACTTCATTATCCAAAACACATCAAGTGTGGCAAACACTTCATAGTAACCCTCTTTAGTCTGCATGTGACAATATTGGGAAGTTGCCGAAGTCATAACCAGCATCAGCATGTTAATGTTGTCTTGATATTTAATTAAATGAGGCCCGTACCTGTAAACATTGGCTATATTCCAAAAACAATATATTAGCTGTTTATTATGCAAACACACAGATTTTTGATGAGTCTGACGATACTGCCAAAACCACATCTATTTTGAAGACAGCAGAACTAAAAGCACCCAACATGGTGCCCAACTTCCTCCACACCACTATGACACATTTGAAAAGTATGTGGAGTTATGTTTGGCTGGGTAAGCCATTTCCAACGGGTATTGTGCTTTTCCTTATGAATCATGGGCTGTGCCTTTCCCATAATGCCCCAGTCCAAGAATGAGGTTCAAATACCAGACACAAAAAAAAGTAAGAACTGTTAGAGCCAGAATCACATAATGATTCAGTGCTGCCAAAAAGAAATAGAATGTGATCCTGCAAAAGCTTGAGCCCCAGATATAAGGGAAACAGCTGGGGAAGGATATAATGACAGTTTTTGTAGCAAAAAATATTTGAATGCCAACATTTTATAGACACCAAATACCCTAAAACACCGTCTGGTATCACACTTCATCTGGGTATTTTAATATATTGTAAGTATCCATTATTGTGTCTGATGACAGGAGATACTTGTGCAACCAGAACAAGCCGTTCTGACCTTGTTGAACTATTTCCCCTCTTGGTTTTAACACTTGCAAGCCTTATATTTAATAACTGACTATAGCGCCTGGCGTTTCGTTTCAGGGGGCTTGGTCTTACCATAAGTCTTTTGTTTACTTTCTGGAAACATACGAGTGGCAGCACAAATGGTGCGTTTCCTGTAGGAGCTTCACAGAAGGAGGAGTTACTACAAGTTCATCGGCTGTTACTGAGAGGATCAACCAGTTATCTGAGTTCAAGTTGCCCTCTGACCATATATGAGCCCAGGTGGACAAAACTTCAACATAACCCATTTACACGTTTAACGAGGCATCACAACCAGAGACTGTGGTAAAAGCTTCTCTAGGAAGTCATTCAAGGGCTCTGCGCCATTAATGGAGATGAAGAAGAGAGAGCCATTTCAGGACAAACCGGTGGGGGTGGATAAGGACAGTTTCTGCAGCTTATATTAGAGAAAATAGCACTTTGGATCAAAATCTACTTGACAGAATTCAGCAAGCAAGCCTTGATAAAAATCCTTTCTGGGGGATGCAGTGTTCCCTGCCAAAGCATGCTATTTGCCATGTTAGGGAAACACACCGTGCACAGACAATTACATTTATTTAATCGGAATTAATCTTGAGTTATTAAAGATGATGTGGAATAAATCAGTATAGTTTGTATACAGAAAAAGTAATAAGCAAACACTTTAAGCCACTTAAAGAAATAAAGTGACAAATATGTCAGTGTTCTCCTCAATAACTGCTACTTAAGCAGGGGATGCAAAATGCATGAATGCAAACATGTTGATAATGATATACATGTGTATGTTAGCTTACACCAGTGCTCATATCTGGGAGGCTGTGGCTCAGTGGATAGTGCTCTGAACTTCAAATCAGGGGATACCAAGTCTGAGTCCCACCCCAAATTGCTCCTGTGGGGATTGCCCACGGTACTGACTGAATGTATGTAAGTCACTTTGGATAAAAGCGTCTAACAAGTGACATGTGATGTAATATCTGATATGTGCTTTGGCCTGAAAACAGTAAACGCTCTGCTCTGCAGTCGAGGCTAGCAGGCAAGTGTGGGAACTCAGCGTTCTCAACTCAGTGTTCCAGACACACACACACACACACACACACACACACACACACACACACACACACACACACACACACACACACACACACACACACNGTTGCTCTGTGTTGCGTTGTTAATGAGTGAAACACACCGGAGTTGAGGATCTGTGGGGTTTATTCTCCCAAAAATATAATTTACAATTTAGGCATTTAGCAGACGCCTTATTCCAAAGTGACTTACAATGACCAATTACAGGGACATTCTCCCTAGAGTAACCGAGGGTTAAGTGCCTTGCTCAAGGGCACACTAGTAGTGGTGTTCCAGGCAGGAGTTGAACTCGCATCCTTACGATTATCAGCCCACCTCACTATCCATTAGACCACCAAAAAAATAAATAATAATAATACTTTTTTTATTTTTTATGAGATCCATTTGTGGCGGACGATATTTAATTGTGGCGGCTTGCCACAAATAAATCAATGTATGGGAAACACTGGCAGCAGTGTGTTCAGGTATTAAAATATTTAAAGTTGGAATAAAGTATGAGCTACACATCACAAGTCTAAGGCTCAGCAATCGATAAGAGAAGTCCGATATGTTCATGAAACTCCCCAGGAGGCACCAACGCTAACGTGGACGAGTGGACTCCGGAGTTTGTTGCATGAGTTGCACTGTATGATCTGTGGTGTAGTGGGCTGTCACTCAAAAACTGAGTAGCCAATTGGGACACACCCCTGAAAGTCCCGCCCACCTGGGATGTTTGTGTCAAAATCTCAAACAAAAAACGAGGGAGCGCAAACGAGAGAGCCGCAGTGACGCGTCCTTAAACCCGGAAGTAAACTCCTTCCGGTTCCTTCGTCTAAAACGCAATGCAATTTCTCCATAGGATTTTGGAAAATAGCTCGAAATAAGGTCTGTGGTTGACACACATTTAAGAAAGGGATCACGTTTTGTTCAGCCGGAATAATCTCA